CGTGGCCATGGTGAGAAACCACCCCACCCCCCTTCTCACATTCAGCCCACACTCACCGATATAAGAAAGCCTTCGTTGTCAGGGATTTGGGGTATCTCATACATTTGGGTCTTTCCTGCAACAATTTGAATCAACTGCAAGGGAGAGGAGATGACTTAGCCCACAGCCAGGGATTGAGGACCTAGCAGGTCCCATCCCAGGAGACAGGCTCTTGCTTCCTGCCGTGTTAGACTCCAAGGGCCACCGCCTGGCGTCTGCCAGCAGCACATCGTTAGGGACCGGAAAGCTCTGTGCCCGCACCTCTGGTGTGTAGGTCTACACAACACTCGTTGCTCATCTGCAGTGGCTGTCTGCTGTCTGAACATTGGGGTGGGTGGAGGGCCATCCTTGGGGTGACCCTGGGACAGCTGCCTTTGAAAGCCTTCCCCAACTGGTTTACCTGTTCTGAATTACCTGGTCTCTCTGATAGTCTTTTATACCCAGGCTGTAAACCTTGGCCTTCATATTCCGAGCCCTGTCAGCCTAAGAGAAAGAAAGGCTTTGAGTATCAATCACACAAGCACATGGAGCACAAAGCTGGGAATGATGGATTGGACTCACTTCGCTCTTGGATTTCCGTAAAGCTGTTGGCAGGAGTGGCCCAGCGGTCACAGTGAAAATCAGGCTGGCAGCCTTCTTGTCTGCAGAAGAGGCAGGGAGCGGCCTGGTCAGCAAGGCACTGGAGGGCCCTGCCTCAGGCTGCCAGGCCCAAAGCGTTGCTCCCCAAGTCCCTCCCTGGGGAGAGGCCAGCCCGACCCGAGCGCCCGCCATCCAGAGCGCCTGGAGGGAGAAGGGGCCGAGGCCCAGGACCCACTTGACAGATGAGGAGCCTGAGAGCTGCTCAGAGCTCTTCCTGGTGAACCCTCACTACGACCAGATGGCACAGTCTTGGCCCTGAAAGGCCACGCCGGCGACCTCCCTGGACGAGGACCAGCCTTTCAGGTGAGCAAAGGCAGGAGCTGGACTCCGGCCCGGGCAGTGCCTGCGGCCTTTCCTGCTGGCTCTGTGGGTCCTGCCATTCAGGACTCAAGGTCAGGGTGCTTGGACAGCAGCCCCCACCCAGCTTCCCACCTTTCCCTGCAGGCCACACATCTCTTCTGACAAGAGCCACAACCCTGCAGTCCAGGAGCTGAGGGTTCAAGGCCGAGGACTGCCCTTCCCACTGTCAAAGACTCAGTCACAGGATGAGAGTCTACCCAAGGGCAGAAGCTGAAGGGCAAGGCGCAGAGCCGGAACTGGGGTGGACATAGGTGTAGGCAGCCAGAGGGACATCAAGGCCTTTGTTCCCTCAGCTGAGCCCTGTCTGCTTGTGGCCCCTGTATTTTCCTTCTTCTGCCTCATGCAGCCTGACTGTAGGTCAAGCACCTCATATCTAATAAGAACCGTCTGGTTCTCAGGAACAACCCTGGGGTGGTTTCATCCTCGCTGCGCATAGGAGGAAGCTGCAGCGCAGAGAGGGCAAGGAACTCGCTCGGAGAGGCAGCGCGAGGAACCGGCCGAGGCGGGCCACCGGCCCTCGCTGCGGCCTGGCCTGGCTCTGTCCCACCCGAGCACAGTGGAGGCAGCAGGCAACTTACTACTGTAGAAAACTCTTGCAATCTCCTCATTTGCCTGCAACAAAATGAAGGAATGTGGGTGGAGGGCAGTGAGATGCCCCAGTAATATCTAAGAACTTGATAAAGCAGAATAAATTCTCAGAGCTGTAGGGTCTGTACCTTTTTCAATCCTTCATGCATGTTTCTGGGTCCTGAAGTTATTACATCCTTAAGTCTTTTAAGGCCAGCTTGTATGTCTCCTCTGAAACAAATTAGAAAAAAGGGTAGAGGAGGAATGAAAGTGATTGCCACACTGAAAGAAAAAAAAAAAGCAAAGCAGACCCGTCCTGGCACCATTCTGCCCCGTGCAGACCTGCCTGGACAGGAGAGGACACAAGTCACCCCATCATGACCTTCCTGCCCACGTCTCTGACATGACAGGCCTTGCTCAGGACTCCTCTGTCCCCTGTTTGGTGAGCGTGGGGGATGCTGCTTTGCTGGTCCCATGGGAAGGGTCTGGCTTCCAATGTGCTCATCCCTGTCCCAGGAAGGCAGCCCTCAGGGACTCAGCAAGGGCCCTGCCTTGGCTGTCCGTGGTGAGAGGGCGTCACCCAGGGCCGTGCACCTGGGAATCCAGTGCTCACAACGTGACTGACGGGCCTGCTGGCACCTAAGGGCTCCCCCGTGAGGGCGCATCACCCTCCAACAGGCAAAGCTGAGTTTGGAAAAGGTGACACCCCTGCCCTTTTCTATCAGCCCCTGCCACTGACCCCTGAGGTCCACTTGGTCCCTCCAAGCCACTTCCCCTTGGGATCCTAGCTAAAGGAAGTGGCTGAGCCGCTTCGTTAGAGAGCTGGGCTCCTGGACTTCATGTGCCCCTGGAGAAACAGACCATAGGCTGGAAAAGAGGCCTGAGGGCGGCCCATGCAGGAGGAGAGCAGCGACCCCAGCTCACCGGGATGGGCTGCCGGCCTCTGTTAAAGCAGACAGCAAGGGGTGGGCTGGGACACGTGAGGGGTGGGGCTAGCTCAGGCTAAGCCAGTGTGACTGGATCGTGAAGTCCAAGCAGAATGTGGACCCTGAAGCCTGGCTTCTCACTGTGGGCAGAAGAGATTCTGATGGGCGGTGAGATATGAGAGCCCTAGGCCTTCCCAGCCCAGCCCAGGAGGAGAGGACGGGCAACAATGGCCAGTGGAGGCCAAACCAGGACTTGCCTAGTCTAGCCAGACACCTGTCCTGGCACTTTTGGGAAGATTTCCGTTTTCTCGATCACACCCCGAGATATGCTGGAACTCTCAGCCCTCCCCAGCCTCCTGCCTGGGACGCACGTTGCCAGGTGAAGTTCTTGCCTGTGTGGGCTCTCCCTGGTGCTGCCCCTCCAGGGCTACTCCCAGCTCTGCTCATAGTGGGACCCCAGGCTCCTGGCACCCTCAGCAATCCCTTCTGCTCTTCAAATACCCCCTCAGCTCCTATGAGCTCCTTCACCTCTTCCCAGTTCTCACTCACCAAGCCATCACCCCTGGGGCTTCCTAGTCCCTGTGCTGTCTGGATTCTCCAGCACCTAGAGCAAGCCCCCGTGTGGCCTGTGCCATCTTCATCCTGCTCCCCCTAGTGGACAAGTCTCAGAAAACATCATCTCTGGTCCCAGTCCTGGCCCCACCTTCTTTGCAGACCCACCAGCCACACCTCTTACCAGGCTCCACTGGCCACTTCTAGACTCACCCTGCACACCAGGGCTTACCATAGCCCTCTGCCACACACTCCTAAACTCCTGGGCTGTGGGACACTTTTGGGAATGCCCAATCCCAGGCTAAGCTCAGCTTCTAGTAAGATTCTGTGGGTTCCTCCTGAGCAGAAGCATTAGGACCATGGTTGATTTTGAGATATCTTCTTAGGTGAATGATCCCCCGCCCCTACACCCTCAGGATTTCACATATTTTCAACTCTTCCGAGCCCTCCCCCACCTCCCGAACCCTGTGTCATAGAAGACTTCCCCTCCTTCTCTCCAGAGAAGAACAGGGAGGACTTCCATGAGCTTCACCAAAGCTCTCTTGGTCCCGGCCTTGAGCCCGTGCCTTGGAGAAGTCAGGGGTCTTCCTCTCCCCCATGAGCAGCTCCTCCACCAGAACCCCACAGCCAGTCCCCACTGCCTCTCTCTCTGCCTCCTGCCAGAGTCCCTCCTCATAGACTTGCTTTCTTTTACTTCAGACCCACTCCAGTCTCTTTCCTAAAATTGAACCACAAACATGCACAGAACTTTGCCTTCCTCTAGCTCACTGAGTGGGAAGCCCAGTCCCTTCTCCTGGGAGCCAGTCTCGGGGAGTGCTGTCCTCAGGCATGGCTCCCTCACACTCCCTCCCTTGCAGCCTTGCTGTTCCTGCTTACCTGCTGTTCCCGGCTTCTCTCGAAGGTCCTGAAGAGTGGCTCTGTGCCACAATTCCTGGATGCATCCAGTCCCAAATGTCCTCATCCTATCTTTGGTGCTTCACCCACTGAATGGGGTTCCAGTCACTTGCATCATGGGAATTTTAACCTCCCAGCTACTCAGAAGCTCCATGTTGTCCCACCTCAAGGACTTTGCGCCCACTGCTGGGCCCGCCTATGGCCCACCTCTGCTGCTGGTGTATCACGCCTCCCTCCTGCACCCTAGCCTAGCCTGGTGTTCGGAACCACACTCAGGAAGTCCTCTGTCTCAATCCCACCAAGGGACCCAGCTCCCCTCCCCTGAAGTCTCCAGCACTTTAACACTACCCGTCCCTCACTCCCTGGTTCTGACTCTGTCTCCTCCTCACCCTGCACAGAGCAGGGAGTGGCACACACAGCAGCTGGCCAGTGTTCATAAAGGACCCACACCTCTGCTCCACCAGATCAAGCAGATCCTCCCAGCCAGACTGAGCTGAGGAAAGGGAAGGGCACCATCAGGTCGGTGGAGGGCAGGGCTTAGAGGGGGCAGAGATGGTCTAGCAGCACAGGGGTCTGCCCGTGCCAGTGCAGCCACGGGTCAGTGGGAGCCAGGGAGCTGGGGCTCGGGGTCCAGGTGGGCACTGTGGGGAGCCCACCCAGCGCAGCCCGTACCCAGTGAGTCCCCGTGGGGTTCCCAGGAACCTCTCAGCTCCTGCTTCTCCCTGAGGCCCTTTGATCCCTTGAGGGGAATCAAAGCAGCACTTACCTGTCTGAGGTGAGGCGCATGAGGACGTTGCCATAATGCGAGTAGGTGATGAAGGACATTCGCAGTTTAGGGCTGGGGAGGAAGCACGTGTGTGTGAGGAGCTCAAAATTACACCCCTGAGCAGTGAGGAAGGGGTACATTCCAACTTCCCTGCTCCCCACCCCAGCTCTTCTGTCTGGGCCCCATTTCCCAAACCCTGGAATTTCCCATTCCTTTTGTGAAGGGTCGGGAGGCCTGTAAGATGTGCTGTCTTGCTGGAAGAGTGTCTGGGTGGTATCATGTTCCGTCCTTACTCCCCAACACCTGAGGTCTTTCCCTCTCTCTCCCTCTCTCTCTCACACACACACAAGCACACACACACAGGTGTATGCATACGTTCCCTACAAGTACAAGAGGGTAGACTCCTATGCACTCCTGCAAGAGGGCCTCTCCCCTGGCCTCTCTTTTAATGTCAAACTCATTGGACCTTCTGCTCTCCCCTCCTCGCCTGTCTTCCCTGCCTGCCTCTCATCTCAGAGAAACTGATCTGCCTCTCAGCAGCCATTCATATACAGACTTCCCTCTTTCCTCCTTTCCTGACTTCTGACCCGTTGATCCCCATTATCTTTTGGGAGGGCTGGGGGAGGGAGGTAATTAGGTTTGTTTGTTTGTTTGTTTATTTAATGGAGGTACTGGGGATTGAACCCAGGACCTCGTACATGCTACGCATGGGCTCTACTCCTGAGCTATTCCCTCCCCACAGATCCCCATTATCTTTTTGCAAAATTGCTCCTATAGGTCCCTAGCTGGGTTCTTCACTTCTCCTGGTTCATGTTCCAACTCATTTTAGCCATAATTATCAGACTTTTCTCCTGAAGCCAACTTTGATCATGTCAGACCCCTGCCCAAAAATCATCTATAGCTCCCCATCGTTCACAACAGGGAATCCAAGACCCTAGGCCTGGCATTATGAACCCTATGGACTTGGCCCCAAGCCGTGCTATCCAGCCTCATCTTCCAGTTCTCCCCGAGTTAATCCTGCTCTCCAGCTAAACAGACCCCTTGCTGTACAAGAAGTCTCCTTGATGGTTCCTGTCTTTCCTCATCCTTCAAGATCTAGTTCAAAATTCCACATTCTTTAGGAAACTAGCTTTTTTTTCCCCTTAAGAATAGTGGATTTTTCCTTAAAGTTGCAAGTAACTCCTTTGCCCTTTTGTTTTGGTCCTTGGCACCCTTTGACCCAGTGTTTAGTTATATGTTACTGGTTTGCCTGTTTTCTAATCTATGACTCTGGACAGACTATGTCTTCTACAATGTGACCTGACTCCCAGGCAGGGGCCAAGGAAGCTGCCCGGACCTGATGGAACCAGTGTGACTGGTAATTCTTTCTGCTTCAGATCACCACCCTGGGCTCTGTGCTTCTGACCTCAGGGACTCCTGTGCCCACCGGGCCTAAAGAGCTGTGTACTCTGAATGGCAGAGGAAAATGCCAGACATACTTTGTGTACCACTTCACCATACTTTCCACTAATTTGCAAATGTCCTTCCATTTGTCACCTACGCCGCTCGACCTGAAAACAAAGAAGACCTGAGTAAGAGGGATGAGGCACCTCCACTGGGTGGGCAAAGTTTTTGCCTCCTCAGTTTCCAGCAGACCCTTTAGCATATCTTTCCCACCCCGCATAGCTGAAGTCTGCCACATTCCCTCAGTAACGTCAGTGGGTCACTCTGCGGGCAACTTGCATCAGTATGAGTGCTGGGGAGGGTGACCAACCAGACATGTGGGCATGGGATGAGGGACTTTGTGTGGCAAACCAGGATGGTTGATATGCAAGGAATGAGGGAGGATGTATTGGTTGGAAAAGGCTAAGCAATTCTGATATGTTGGCTCTCCCAGTCCCCCAGTTTTGACACATCAATAAGAGCGCTGACCTCAGGCAGGAAAAGGATGTGCTATTCAGGCTATTTTTCCCCCTTCTTTCTTAACAAATTGCAAAGCTGAGCCACTGTGGACACGGAAGGTCTTTTCTGGGAACACTCATGAGAAAGGGCAGTAGTATGCCTTGGACACTGTTGTTCTGGACAATCAGCATGCCCTGACCAGCAGGGGAAGCTGCAGGCCCTTCCCAGGCCTGCTTTCAGCTTCTCACCTCCATTGGCTCTGACTTTAGTGCCTGAATGGAGATTGAGGAGGCTCTGTGGGGGTTGGAGCCTCATGCCGCTTTCTTGGCGGGGGTGGGGGGAGGAATTCTATGTGCTGTGTTGGCCAGGGTTCAAAGGTCCTTGCAGTCCCACACCTCTGCAGGTCTGCACCAGTCCAGTTTATGGAGGGCAAATGTGGTCTCATTGGCTAAGTGGTTTGTCAAGGCTCAGCAGGTGGTGGTGGGGAAACTAGGCTGGTGCCCTGTTCTGGGCTCTTTCCCAGTGACTGTTGGCTTATGTCTTTCAGATGGCATGTGAGTCTGAGGAACTCCCGGGAGCACCTTCCTTTCACCTCCAGTGATCACTATGCCCCTAAACATCCTGAATGTCATATTTACATGTGTGATTCCCGTATACCCAAGAGCATCCTTCTCCTCCCTACCACTCCTTCTACCTCCCCTTGGCTGCATCTAAAACTGTCAAGAGATGGCAAGTAAACTAGACAGGTAATTCTAACAATACTAGAATTATCACTCTTGGAGTATGTGTATACCAGACACATTACATGCATGACTTACAGTTCCAAAAGAACACTGTGATATCATCATTACTCCCATTTTACAGATGAGAAAACTGAGGCCCTCACAGGTCAAGGATTTTGCCCAAATTTCCATGGATCTGAACCCAGATCTAGCTGGAATCCCCATGATTTAACCCCTGAACTTGGTAGATCTGGGAGACACTGCTGTGTGTGACACTTGTGGGTAGCAAAGCACGAGACTCTGTCAACCCACCCAAAATATAGACTTTTTAGTGGGCGCTCCTATGCATAAATGCAAGGCAACTCCTTTCCTCACTACCAATATCACTTTCCGCTTTCCTTCTCACAACTCTTCTTCTCTGCGTTTTCCCTCAGTGAAGAGAATTTCCCAAAGAAGATATACAGGAAACAAAGAGTCTTCAACCCACCTACCTTCTCTGGAAAAGGTTCTAGTGTGTGATTATTTTGAGTGAAGTTCTAGCTTTTAGAACGCAGAAGAACATGAGTGCTTATGATAGTGGAAAATACCACAGGGACCTTCAGGTCCCTAGGCAGGAGGTAGTTTGGAAGATAGCTTCAATCATGATTTTGTGCCTGACTTTTAAATGAGAATGGAGAGATAAGGGTCATCAGGAATTTGAGGTTATTACTGCTACTAAAGCTTGAGGCCAAAATGTCCTGGTGAGATACCTACACTGGAGATTGGAAATACCTATGGCAGCGTCATGCGGGGGAGCTGAGCTATACAAGGAAGCTAAATTTTCCTCCCCCATAGTAAGAACACAGCAGAGGATGTATAAACCTCAAAAAGCAGGAAACGGCAGTCAGTACAAGGTTGGCATTAGAAACAGGCTCACACATAGCACCAAAAGAAAAATCTGGAAGATTTTTAAGTGGCCGCCTCTGGGAAGTGAGATCAGAAGTGGGGAGGAGAAGTTTAGGAGCCTCAAGATTTTTGTTGTGAACAGCAATGTGTCTGATTTAAAATGTATGTTCAAGCATTTCCCTCTAAATGTGAAAATAAAGTTGCAAACAAAAACTTTTAGCATGGGGGACATCACCAAAGTGGCAGATTCTGAAACTCTAAGCCTCATTCCCCCACAGAGACATTGAGCAATCAATTATAAGCTGTGCTAGGAAACAATAAAACGTTTACAACCATAAAGCAATGTGCAATCAAGAAATAGCTATCTTTAAAAGGGTAGGAGAGTTTTGCTGCATAATTCATTACACTTCCCCCACACCTTCTCTGGCGTGGTGGCAGTTTTGGTCTTGAACACTGGCTCAGTCTCATGTTGTCCTTGATCCAGAGGCACAGTGTAGAGTTTACTTAAAAATTATTGGGTAAAACTCTCCTTCCCTGACTGGCACAGCTGTGGGTATAGGTGAATTTAGAAACTGACACATATGCCCAGGCCAGGAGAATGCTCAGGAAAGTCTTGAGAAGACCTCAAGCTTTCACCTTAGGCTGGTTTCTAGGCCCAGTGCTAGTCCAGCTAAGTGTCAAAGGAATATCCCAGGAAATAACCATTCTGCAAAAATGGAAGAGGCTGCTGCTCTCTCTCTAACTGTCTTTTTACAATTTTGTAATAGTTTTATGTTTGTTTCAGATCCTGGTATTTGAGGAAATCTCTGTGAAGACATTCAGTGAATAAGAGTTAAGGGAACAGAAACTCTAGTCATCACATACAACAAGGAATATTCTTTGCAAAAATAGTTTGGAAAAGTTTCAGAATAAACAGGCAATGATCCATGTCTACATTAAGAGATGAAAGCAAATACAACCCAGTAAGCTGTGGTGAATTCTGCTTTCTAGAGTTACCACATTACAGTAACAAAAAATCCTAATTTTCAACAAAAACTGAAAAACATACAAAGAAACAGCGGATCATTGTTAATTCAAAAGAACTAAATAAAATTACGGAAGCCATTCCTGAAGAAGCCAAGGCATCAGACTTACTAGATAAATGCTTGAAAGTATCTGTCTTAAAGATGCTTGGAGATAAGAAAAATAAGGGGAAAAAACAACAAAGAAATAAAGGAAATCAGGATAATGATATATGAGCAAAATTAGTATCACCAAGAACAAAAATTCTTAAAAAAAAAACCAGAAGAAATTTTATAGAAGAAAAAGGCAATGATAAATTGAAAACTTCATTAGAGTAGTTCAATGATAGATTTCACTGGGAATCAGCAAAGTTGAGGATAGGACAATTGATACTACTGAGTGTCAGGAGCAAAAAGAAAAAAGAATCAAAGGGACCTGTAGGACCACCATATATATTGCATGAATCGTAGGAGGAAATAAGAGAAAGGAGCAGAAACATTATTTGAAGAAATCACACCCCAAACTCTCCAAAATTAGATGAAAGACATGATCCTACAATACCAAGAATCTCAACTAACTCTAAATATAATAAAATAAAAACATCCACACCAGGACACAGTATAATCAAATGTTGAAGACAAAGACTAAGATTCCAGAGTTTAAATTCTGGATCTGTGTTTTCTATGTGGAGGCTTTGGTGGGTCATCCCTAGGCCTACAGCTGCCTCCTTGCCTCATTTGTAAAATAGGGGTAATAATATATAGTCACACTGAGGAAGACACGCTGATGAAACTGCTTTCCTACCCTACCCCTCTGGGGCATTCTATGCACACATCTGGCTTTCCCCAGCCCACACTGTCTGGAATCCTGTAGCCTCTAACTTGAAAATAGGTCCAGAATGTGTCTACTCATCATTGCCACCCATACCCTACTGGTCCACACCACCATCGTCTCCTCCCGGGATCTCTGCATCAGGCCTCTCGCTTGTCTCCTGGAAGACTCTGTTCTTGTGCCCTTTAACAGGGACCCTTTTAAACATGATCTAATCACACACCTTCTCCACTCAAAAATCACCTGAGACCTCCCACCCCCACCCCCTCACCAGTCTGTCAGCATGGCCTTCCTGAGCACCTTTTTAGAACAGCCCTTCCCTCAGCCTTTCCCATCCTCCTGTACTGATTCCGCCCCCCCGCCCCCCACCCCAGTATTTATCCCCATCTAATACACTAGTTTGTCTTTTATTTATTTCTTGTCTCTTTCCTACCATGAAAATTCCAAGAGGAAAAAGACTTTTTTTTTTAAGTTTTAAGAACTTATTCCTACTTCCCCCAAAAGTGGCTGATAAAGCAGTTGCTCAGTAATTATTTGTGAGTGGACAAATAAGAGAATGGGTAAATGAATAAGACTGCCCACCAATGGATGTAAGATCCAGAGAACTGGGTGTGCCCCCAGCAGAGGCGTCTGACCTGCACCCCACCTCCCCACAAGGACACGTGGGAAGAGAGTGAGCCAGGGAGCCAGGGCTGGATCAGGGGCACCTGCAGTGCCAGGGAGTTCCCAGAGTGTGTGACTCTGCCTTCCCTGGTCCTTTATTTTATGCTCATTCCCCATGATTGCAACTGACACATGCTGGTCAAAACGTCTATAAAGTCCCCTGCATCCTCATCACAACCTGGTGAAGGGGGTATGAAGACCCCACTGTACAGACGGGGATGCGGAGGCACAGAGACGTGAGGTGACGCGCCCAAGGCTGCATGACTGACTAGTGGAGTCTGCCTGACTGCAGAGCAGGGGTTATGCTCTCAGTGGTACTTACTCCCCTTTCCCCAGCAGAAGCAGGGAGCATCAGGAGGGAATTTGTCCTCACCCTCCAAAAATTCTCTTCAAGATGGTTTCGAGGGCAGCAAGGATCTCTACAACTAGACTGAATGAACACAGTTCCCAGGGAGAAAGTGTTATTTCTCTGGGACTGAGGAGTATGCTGTGCTTTAAAACAAGCCTGGCCTGGCCCTAGAGGCTTACTCCTCCCTGATGCCTGGGGCCAGGAAATGGGTGTGCAGGGCCCTTTTTTGGACACCCTCAGCTCCTCCTCCTGTTTGTAGAATCCAGTAGGATTCAGTCCTGGAAGCCCCGCCATCTTCTGGGCTATACCTCATCCAACTTCTAGGAGCCCACTTCCCTTTCCAGGAGATTGCATAAGCAAATACCTTCCCTGCACTACCTCCCAGGATTGTTTGGAGGGTGACAGACATGCTGTGGTGGGCTTTGGGGACTGTCAGTGCTTCAGTGATATTGTGAGTCATACCACTGTTGTTATTGAATAGGTAAAGTTTATTCTCAGCCCCACGGAGGAGGTGAAAATGGAACCAAGGCAAAAATCTCCAGCCTGGGGACCTGCTCCTCCCTTTCCTTCTTTGAAGGCCAGATGGTGCCTAATGCACAGCCCAGCTGTCCCAGGGCCACACCCAGACACCAAACTGTTCAGAAAGTGCACACAAACTGTAATGTGGGTCTCCAAGTTGTCAGGAAAAGAAGCAAAACACTTAGAACCAGCAAAGCAAAGGACTTCCTAAGCAGTGACACTATGAGAATGCCTAATCAAAGACACAGCAATCTCTCTGGGGTCCGGTAAAAAAAAGAAAAGAAAAGAAAAACAATACAAAGCAAATCCAAAACCCACGGTGAGCTTCTCAAAACTACTGAGAAAGCAGCTCCTAGCAATTAGCTGCCGCCACCCACCCCCTACCCCAGTTATCTAAGGGGTGTGCAGATCACAGATCCAGGCCAAATTGATGGAGATATCGAGTACCATCAAAAAATCTTATGGTGACTTTTTTCCTTTCCAGAAGTAAGAGTCCCAGGAAATAAATGCCTGGGGCTTTCTTTTCTGTTTGGGAGCACGGAGGCCACAGAGGTCTGCTCCTTGGGTCTGACTGAGACTGTCCTTGCTTCATCTCTTTCAGAGGCTGGGGTCCACTTGGACCACTTCCTGTCATCAGTGACCTTGGCAACAGCAGCACCCTGAGGAGCACCAGGGACCAGGTGGGAGGGCCACTTACGCATCCAAGACGAAGTAGAGGTCAAAGGCACCATCGCAGTCATACAACTTCTTTGACTTGCCCTTCTTGAGATCTCTCCACTCTCGGCTGAAGTAGTTGTAAATGTCTTTCAAGTTAATGTCAAACTGGCGGAAATTTCTCCGGTCCAGGACACTGTGCTTGAAGCTCCCTGCACTCAGCAATGGAAAGGGCAGCAACAACAACAGGAAGAGCCCGGGGCCGGGCATCCAGGGTCCCCGGCTCTCCATTTAGCTGTCGTACCTGCGGCCCCAATGGGCCCCAGCCACCTCAGGCTGCAGTTTCTACCAGCCCTGCTAGCACTCAGGGCCCTCCACCTCTCCAGCCCTATCACCAAGGTGCACTATGAGCCTCCCCTGGTACCTGGCCTGAGGGTGAAAGAGGCAAAGATGGCTGGCCTTGGGTGATGGCCCCCTACCTGTATGGCCTGTCCCCTGCCTCCAGAGGGGCAGAATTTCCTTTGATGTCCATTATGATGGACAGGAAGGTTGGCATGGTGACTTTGTGACCTGCAGCTCTGCTCAGTGTCTTTATCTGTTGACAATCCCAGGGCAAGTCAGGGGATCATTGGAGGGGCAGTAAGATGAAGCTCCATTTACTCTTCATCCCAAACCCTCTCAGGTGGCCATTAAATCCTGGAGAAATCTAACCTTTTTGTCAACTGAAAGAGGGCAGCTGAGGTAGCTTAGATAAGAACATCACTGTAGGGGAGGATGTTAAAGAATTGGGAGTCTAGATTGTGGCAGTGGTCATTCCTGTGACCAAGTGGATAGAAGGCTCTAGAAGGTGAAGAAGGTCCCAAAAGTATGTCAAAGTCCTTTGTGAAAGAGGCACATGTCAGTATCTTCTGCTGTGTAACAAACCACCCCAAACTGAACAACAACAAAAGAACTGTTTTATTGTGCTCACGGGTTCTGTGACCAGAAACCAGAGAGGGCTGAGTGGGGATGGCCTGATTCTGCTCCATGGATCAATACTAGGCATTAACAACTCTAAGTCAAAAGTGATTCAAAAAGTCAGACTGCAAATGTATGAATTTTTAGAAGTATTTTAACCAATTTATTTTGTTTAATTTTCTTTTGTATGCAAAAAAGTAGAGTGATTTATGCTAAAAAGCCACTCTCTAGTGAGTCTAAAATAGATCTTTCAATATGTATAACAAAAATATTACTGGCTGGAATGACATCTCCAAATGGAAGCCCTCAAGGCACAATCAGATTCAGGAATAAGAGGTCACTGGCCCCAGCCCAGGCTGGCAGTGGTGGAGCCTGAGATCTTAGTGGACCACTTATTCCCAGCATTGCTTACTCTATATCCCAACCCTTCTGGGAGAATCAAAAAGAGAGAGTTTTCTTTCCCAGGCCAGCAGGCCTGGACCTTTCCAAAAGGGGAGAGACAGGACTGTTGCTGATCTGGGCTGGGGTTCACTGAGCCAGCAGAAGGGGCACTTGAGCCCGATTCTGGTGCCCTTGGCCTGTTCTAATGGGCTCAGAGGGTCTGCATACCAGGTGGAGGAGGAATTACCACCACAGACCTTGGACCCCATCCATCTCCACACTCACAGAGGCCAGATCTGTCCCCTTCTGGGTGGAGTGATCAGCTCAGCACACCCTTGGGCCTCTTTCTCTTCAGCCCTCAAGGCTTCTGCCCTGCAGTGAGTGCTGCAGGAGCCTGTGAGCTTGGACCCCGGGGCAGTGCAAACAGCCCCCATCCACAGGCCCCAGCGACAGGTGACCAGGAATCCCGGGGCCGTTTACTGGGAGAACAGGAGGCGGAGGAGCAGTTGCCTTATCTTGGGAGAGCCTGGCAAGCCAGCCAGGGTGACTGACAGGGACAGCTCGCCACTGCTTCCTGCGAAACTCAGGGTGCTTATCACTCAACCAACTGCCTTTTACCCACCTTTCTGGGTCACTCAGTCTGCCTCCCTCTCAGCAGCTGAGGTGGGAAGGCCCCAGCGGGTCGGCCTGCCCGGCTTCGTGTGTGCTCAGATCCCAGGGCAGGAAAAGAGCTTGTCACAGCCATTGCTAGGATGAGGCCAGGGGAGAGCATGTGCCAGGGACACTGCGTGAAGTCTCAGTGACCCTCAGGCACAAGGGGAGAAGTTGGGCCGAGGTAGCCACTCTTTCTATGACAACTAATGTGTGTGTGTTTTTAACATTTTTTAAATTGAGTTATAATCAGTTTATAATGTTGTGTCAATTTCTAGCGTAGAGCACAATTTTTCAGTTATACATGAACACACATATATTCATTGTCACATTCTTTTTTGCTGTGAGCTACCACAAGATCTTGTATATATTTCCCCGTGCTATCCAGTATAGTCCTGCTTATCTGTTCTGCATATGCCTGTCAGTATCTACAAATTTCGAACTCCCAGTCTGTCCCTTCCCACCCGCCTCTCCCTTGGCAACCAAAAGTTTGTATTCTATGTCTATAAGTCTGTTTCTATTTTGTATTTATGTTCTTTTTAAGATTCCATATGAGCGATCTCATATGGTATTTTTTTCTCTTTCTGGCTTCCTTCACTTAGAATGACATTCTCCAGGAACATCCATGTTGCCAAATGGCGTTATGTTGTCATTTTATGGCTGAATAGTATTCCATTGTATAAATATACCACCTCTTCTTTATCCAGTCACCTGTTGATGGACATTTAGGCTCTTTCCATGTTTTGGCTATTGTAAATAGTGCTGCTATGAACACTGGGGTGCAGGTGTCTTTTTGAAGTAGGGTTCCCTTTGGATACATGCCCAAGAGCAGGATTACTGGGTCATATGGTAAGTCTATTCCTAGTCTTTTGAGGAATCTCCATACTGTTTTCCACAGTGGCTGCACCAACCTGCATTCCCACCAGCAGTGTAGGAGGGTTCCCTTTTCTCCACAGCCTCTCCAGCATTTGTCATTTGTGGCCTTTTGAATGATGGCCGTTCTGACTGGTGTGAGGTGATACCTCATCATAGTTTTGATTTGCATTTCTCTGATAATTAGTGATATTGAGCATTCTTTCATGTGCCTATTGATCATTTGGATTTCTTCCTTGAAGAATTGCTTGTTTAGGTCTTCTGCCCATTTTTGGATTGGGCTGTTTGTTTTTTTCTTATTAAGTCATATGAGCTGCTTATATATTCTGGAGATCAAGTCTTGACAGTTTCATCTTTTGCAAAAATTTTCTCCCATTCCATAGGTTGTCATTTTGTTTTGTTTATGGTTTCCTTTGCTGTGCAGAAGCTTGTAAGTTTAATTAGGTCCCATTTGTTTATTCTTGCTTTTATTTCTATTGCTTGGGTAGACTGCACTAGGAGAACATTTTTGAGACATATGTGAGATAATGTTTTGCCTATGTTTTCTTTTAGGGGGTTTATTGTATCTTGTCTTATGCTTAAGTCTTTGATCCATTTTGAGTTTATTTTTATGTATGGTGTAAGGGAGTGTTCTAGCTTCATTGATTTACATGCTGCTGTCCAGTTTTCACAACACCATTTGCTGAAGAGACTATCTTTATTTCATTGTATGTTCTTGCCTCCTTTGTTGAAGATTAGTTGACCAAAAGCTTGTGGGTTCATTTCTGGGCTCTCTATTTTATTCCATTGGTCCATATGTCTGCTTTTGTACCAATATCATGCTGTTTTGATACCTGTAGTTCTACAGTATTGTCTGAAGTCTGGGAGACAGGACAGCTAATGTTTATTCAGTGTGTCCCAGTGCCTGGCTCTGCAGGCTGGCTGACCCTCACAATAGCCTTATGAAATCAGTCCCACTATAGCCCCTTTTACAGGGGAGGAGACTGGGCAGCTGAGAGGCTCAAGTCATTTGTCCAGGTCCCAAAGGAAGCCAGCGTTCTAACCCAGGGCTGCTGGAGCTCAGAGCCCTGGTGCTGGATGCTGGTTCTGGAGGACAGGATGCCAGGAGCCCTCAGGCTGCCCCATGGTTGGGTCCT